CAGCGGACTCCATAGTCGAAAAAGAAAAAGACAGAGTAATTTTTTGACCCTTAGCTCTTTTTCCTTTATTAGTGCGTTCATGTATGGTTTCTACCATCTCTTGATTTTCCAGGATCGGCGCATCGGGGAAATAACAAAGACGCTCAATCTACTGCTCAATTCGCTCGAACCAGGCTTTCTCTTTGATTTTTTGAGCAAATGGTTCGCAAGCCTCGTTGAAATGGAAAAGCCGTCTTCGGAGAAAATTGCACAGTTTGCGAAAGTGAGTTGATTTGCTCTTGAAATTGATTAAGCTTGCAGATTTGCAAGATGGGCAGTTATTAGGCCTCTCTGATTTTTATATTGTCAATTTAAGGTCGTCGAGTTTTGTTTGAAAACCTGCAATCTTGACGGGGATCCGGATTTGCGCGCTAAGTTCCTACCCCATTTGCTATATTCGATATTAAATAAACTCCACGACGATGAGAAGCTTGTATTGATCGAAATTGATGCACTACTTCAAGTAAGTGCACGTTAAAATCAAATCAAAAGCGCTGCAAAGCATATAATTTGAGATTACGAGTGTCTGCAGCAACTTATTGGAGGAAATATCGCAAAGTGGTGCTGTGGAAGCAAAAAGTATGTGCTATTTTTTGAAGCCCTCCCAATTTCCTAATTTTCTGTTTTCAGTGCCTAATGGAGATATTTCGGAAACATCCTCGAATTCCAGTCCCAAGAAGGTTGCAAACGTCAACACTGTAGTAACCGACGCTATCGAAAAAGGTGCGAGTAATTACTTTCGGGAACTTGCTTCAATAATTGCATTACTTTTTTGAAAACATAATTGAAATTTTAGAGCAAGAGCTTATGGAGTCTTGCGTAAACGAATGTCTTCTGCTGCTGGCTAGCGTTTGCCGTGTGTACGTTGCCAGACGCACAGCAATGCGTTTTCCACTTCTCATCGACGTATGCAAGCTCACATCGCAGTTCCTCGACTATCCATTGTACTGTTTCCTGCTTGATCATCAGGATGATGAAGAAGTACCTGGTTGGCTTCTGGACGTGCTGAAGGTATGTGTAACTGAAAGTTTGAATAAGCGATCGAACATTTTCATATCTGTGTTCGTTTCAGGTTATTGATGCCGACACTTGGATTCAGGAAATGAGTTCCTCTCAGGTAACTTCTTGTTATGATCTGGGTTTTATTAGCTTCCATATCGTCGATCTTATCGTGCATGTGCTTTAGCAGACAATGGACACAACTGATTTATCTGCGAGGACAGCAGTTTTAGACCTGGTTCTTTCCATATACACGAAATGTGCTTCTGTGTTGTCTCAACACGAGGCAATTCGTGGGAGGATGGCAGAGTGTCAAGCTGCTGTAATTGAGTAGGTTATTTTTCTTTATAACTATCAGGGAAGGGCGAGTCCTCAACAATTTCTCTTTCTAGATCCGAGGGCAATCCAACCACTGTTTTGCTGAAGCCGTTACTTTTTTCGACTCAGTTGAGCAAGCTCGAAAGAGACGGGTTTTTCGAGGTGAGCAATGTTCTGTTAATGCTTTGTTCAAAAACCTGTGTTTGCTGAGGGCACCTGAAGTACAATTTTTCACTTCATAATTCGCGTCTAAAGAAAATACAGGGTGTATTAAAATGATGT